AAGGCAAAACAAAAGAGTGATTGATTCGTCCATGTACTTGGCCGAAGCGAATCAAGTGATGCAACTTGGTGAGTACTTAGACAAGAACTTGGGAAGTAAAACACTTGCTAAGTTCTTGTTCAAGTACTTACTAAATGAGGAAACTTGTCAGGTACTCGACAAGTAATCAAATATATTCCCTAGGCGAACGAAAACATAGTAAATGTATTTTTATAACTGTTTTTCGTTATAGAAAAGCTCAAGTCTGACAAACTTGAAGTAGAAGTCAGTTCAAATTTCCAAGTCTTGAGCGTTTCTGTAACAAAAAACGATTGTAAAACAAAATTTATTTAGTACAAACAAGTCCAGTTTAAAATACCAAGAAAGAAGACAGTTAACACATATAGTCAGCTAACAGAGAACATATGTGAGAAGAAACATCTTGCTTGCAAGCTGCCTATTGATTCTCTTAATGAGAATACAAAATACTTAAGACAATGTTTTTACACACTTAAATTGTGTGAAATGAAAATAGAAAACTTTACATTTTTTTCATGAGTACATGTCTTTTGTCGCAATCCCACTGTTCAACTTGATAACCTTTGGATGTTAAATAATTGACAACGTCAACGTAGTTTGTTTTCTGTAAACGACCATAATGATTAACTAAAAACGGATAACCATTTTTTAATTCGGGAATATTACTAGGATGTGGCGTGATTAAAGTTTCTGTTTTATCGGCACTGAAATCGTTGATAACAACATAAAATGGTAGTTTTTGACTGACTTCGGCACTAATTTCGTCTGGCAGCAAATATTTATCTATTATGTTGTTTTTGAGTTTCTCAAATTGTACAGGAAGGAGTAATGTGTCATATCGATAGAATTGTAATATTGACGCAAAAACGGAGGGATCTTCATCTAACAAAAAATAGTCACCGCCACTATATTTTGAATGGAATAAACCTTCGTTTAAAACTAATTTTGTTAAAAAACTATCGGGATATTTATTCAAATGATCAAGAAATATTCCATAAATCTGACCGTTTGTTAATTTGAACTGAACTGTTTTGTTATCATTCATGATGATGTTTTGTCATGTTGTATCTTCTGAACAATGCATCACATGAATAATACAATTTGATATAAAATTAAAAGCATAATGCTTGCTCTTCATTTGCAGTCAATATACGATACGTTCTTTCCGATTTGATTTAGAAATTTACGTCGTTAATACCAAAATAGATTAAAATATAGAAAACAGAAAAATGCACTTCAAGCAATTTAGACATACAGCAACAATCGAAGATAGACTTTAAGATAGAATAATAGATGAAGCTGATACTTAAACATCATTATGTCCCGTACTATGGAGCAAAAATTGATCTGAGAACAATGGACGATTTTTCTCTTGCCTATTCCGCAACTTTTACTTTAGTCCCGTAGCTTAACCTTAGTTAAAGGCTGACGTAATTCTTTATCAAAAATCTCAAGGTTTGACTTCAGTTTATCTTAACTCGATTGAATGCGATCGTAAGTTGAGCATTGACTGAAAACAAGCATCTCTAGAGTTATCTTGGATTAATGCTGTAAAATGACAAACTAAAACAAACTAAATGTAGAAAGTCTGTGCTTAGCTTCATGAACTTAAAACTGCTGATAAAACCTTCCCCTTTTTCCGTTCATAATCGATGTTAGATCCTAACGTATGGAAACTGCATAACGACCAACCGTAACATTTGTGAAGTGCATAGATAGATTGCAATACACAAATGTTACGGTTGGTCGTTATGCAGTTTACTAAAAGCCAAATGTATTGACACTTTCCGCATATCCAACCGTTAGGCTACGTTCAGGGGTAATACTAAAACGCTGAATTTTTTTACTGAATGCTGAAT